TTCGGCTAAGATCAAGTGCAAAATTCTGCAGCCAGCGCTCCTTTCTTAGGATCACATTCCACAAGTGTTCCAAGAGAAAACAACTGTGAGGCAGCGTGCAGACCCTCCCAGAATGTCCAAGACCTTCAATACTATTTGTTTTTTGCCTCTCGGGTCCAGGGATGAGTGGGAAAGCGCTCCAGAAGGCCAGAGGGCGGGAGCTGCAGCCGGGCTCCCCACAGCTCCTGTCTTCCCGCCTTGTTCCCCTGCACTGGCCAGCTGTGCGGTCAAGCCTGGAGTACAAACCTCCGTGTGGAAGTCGATTTGAAGGAGTAATTTATAAAAACGTAACATGCATAATTTTGTCGACAGAGGCTCACATTTAAAACAAATAAATGGGAAATGTGGCCTGCCCTTGGCATAGGGGCAAACAGCACGGGAGTCAGTTTTAAGGGGAAAAAATAATGTAGGCCAGGATCAGAATGTGTGAGATCTTTAGGATCATCTTTCTTATGGGGCAAACATCCCAAATTACTGCTTATGTAATAAAACATCATAATAAACCATTGGATTGGGGCGCCTGGGTGGCTCAGTCGTTAAGCATCTGCCTTCGGCTCAGGTCATGGTCCCAGGGTCCTGGGATGGAGCCTGGCATCGGGCTCCCTGCTCGGCGGGAAGCCTGCTTCTCCCTCTCCCACTCCCCCTGCTTGTGTTCCCTCTCTCGCTGTGTCTCTCTCTGTCAAATAAATAAATAAAATCTTTAAAAAAACAAACAAAACCATTGGATTAGACACCATTAGTGATAGGATTCTTTTTTTTTTTTTTGCACAGAAATCACTTAATATCTTTATTGCCACCTTTTAAAAAGGGCTAATGAGCAGGTGACAGCACAGTATGATGGAGAGAACACTGGACCGGGTTTGGTTTTGTTTTGTTTTTTTACAGCCAGGATTCTAGTCCTGCCTTTGCCACGAACTGAGATCTTAGGCAATCTGGGCTTTGGTTTCTCTGCTGTCAAATAAGAGACTTCAAGGATCTGTAATGGTTTTTCCAGTTCTAAAATCTTATGCCAATATTATTTTATCATGTATTTGTAGGCCCACCCTAGATATCTTTGCAAGTTCTTTATGGGAAACTTTCATTTATTATTTATCATGAATAAATTCACCGTTCTATAAAGTTAAAAAAAAAGTTAAAAAAAACCCCAAAACCAGAGAAACCCAAACCCAAAACAAAAAACCCAACTCTTCAGTTCTTTGTTTCAGCAGAGTTGAGCTCAGATTGAGTTCTGAACCCTGAATTCTGAGTTCTCTCCCCTACTGCAATAGCTTTGAACAAAGTCTTCCTTGTCTACTGAGGAAAAAAAATGGGGCTAATGATTTCTAGCTCTCTATGCCCCAGGAGACGTCTTCAACTTAAAAACAATGCCATGAAAAAAGAATTTGAACTTTATGGAGCTAAATGTTATCTAGCAGGAGGAAATCATTATGTGTTCTTAATATTTGATATGATTTCTACAAAGATTTTGACTTCTACCCATGTGTGTATCTGAGCAGTACTGGGCAAGCTGACATCATCTTCAGTCTTTGTTGGTTAAACTCACGGAAGGATTCCCAGGACCAATTGCTCTATGACCTACACAAATTACTTCCCTCTCTTAGTTTCCTCATCTGTAAAATGGGTATACCGATTGTACTTATCTCATATGGCCAAGTAAGACAGTGCACAGGAAGTACACTGCGAAGCAGGTGTTTTACAACCAAAGGCAAATGAATTTTCTCAGTTCCAAATATGTGTTAAAAAATAAAGTTTGTTGTCAATTTACTTATAGGCCATCATTGTGTAAGGAAAAGATCACTGAGATAGGAGCTCTAGTTTATAGTGAGGTCTAGGCAAACTGCTTACTCTCCCCAGGTTTCTGTTTCTTTGAGGTGGATTAGGGGCGCCTGGGTGGCTCAGTCGGTTGGGCGGCTGACTTCGGCTCAGGTCATGATCTCAGGATCCTGGGATTGAGCCCTGTTGGGCTCCTAGCACAGCGGGGTGTCTGCTTCTCCTTCTGTTCCTCTCCCTGCTCATGCTCTCTCTCTCTCTCATAAATGGATAAAATCTTTAAAAAAAAAAGTCACTTATTAAAAAAAAAAAAAGGAGGGGAGCTGGATTAGAGAACCTCCGAGTAACTTCCAGTTCTAAAGGGACTTAGGGATTTTTTCCAATTCATTTTTAAACAAAGTTTTAATAAAATTTAACATAGCAAGTATTATATGCTTTAGCAATTTATATTTTAATTAAATGTACTTCAGATTAAAATTTTATTATGCAGTGTTTAAGTACAGAAGGATATGGAAAGTGATAAAACTTGATTCGTTTAAAAAATAGATTTGGAAATGCTGTGGGAAATTCAATTATATTTAAAGGTGCAAAAACAAGATTGAAATCACTGCCAAAAATAAGGAAATTTACTTTGGATGTCCATTGTTTCTGGAAGAAGGGTGTTTTTATGCCTGTGTGGCTCTGACGTATTAGGTGGAGGCCAAAGCAGAGAACAGCCTCTCCTTTTTGGAACATGTCATCTAAGTGAAGTAGAAAGAATATAGCTTAGCAACAATACACATCTAAATAAAACACGGACCCTGAATTTGATATGCATCTCGTTTGCAGTAAGAAGACTTTTGTGGCAACCCAGGCCATGATGGAAACACCTCGTGGCATAGAAGTGGATTCAAATTCTGGCTCCTCTCCTTTCTAAGTGTGTGACCTTGGGATAGTTCGTAACCCATCTGTGCCTCAGTTTCTTCAAAAATGTGACGACCCTTAGGAGTATTGTCAATATTAAATGAGATAATACATGTAAGGCTCTAAGAACAATGCCTGACACATAGAAAAAGCTCCGTGAACATTAGCTATTATTATCCGACTCCATAAATTACTACTGGATGTCTGCTACGGAGTAGTCACTGAATTAGACCCTGAAATACCTTTGCGGTTTCAGCTTTTTGTGTCTGGTCTACCATGTGTTACAGAGTTAGATAGGAAATTCCAAAAATTCAGCAGTCCAATGGGACCCAAGGAAATCTAGAAAAAAAGGCCCTTTGGAGTCAAAAGACTTTAAATTCAGGAGGGAAAAGGAGATGTCAATGAGTAGTTGCTTGAGGTCTTGCCTTGAGGTTGTGGAGTTCTGCGCCAGGTTTTAGAGAGCACGTTAGGATGCATATATTAAAACTACGGTGACATTCAAATAGTCAGATATGCCTAATTAGACTTTCATGTTCTGTATTTATAAAAATGTTAGTGGTGCGTTTCCTCAGTGCAAATGATTTTTGGCTCTTACTAATATTTATGACTATAATAAACTCTATATAGCATAGAGTATGTGATGCATTTGTTCTAGTCATCAGCTTGCTTTTATTTAAGGGGATATCCCAGAAGATGCTACATCTTGACGAGTAATTTCAGCGGATAGGGAGTAAGCAAAATTTAGGCAAGGACAATTGTACTTGAGCACTATGAGACAAAATGAGAAATAGAATTATAGCAGTAAGGCACTCCGTTATATAAATTTATCATGGAAATGGCGTAGGAAGATATGCCTTTTGCAAGCAATACCGGGTTGCTTTGTGGGGATTCCAAGCCTTGCCCCTGTAACAATGCACGACGTTTGGTTTGAGAGTTTCCTTGGGTGGATGTGTCCACAGGGCATCAAAAGCAGGTTGAAGATGGTGAATTCAACCTTCGGGAGCTGACCATTTGGTCTCAGTGACCTCAGGTTGGACTGGCGTTGGCACCAGCTTGTTTGGTTGCTTTTGGTGACTTCGGGGTAATGTGAAGGCACAGAAAATCATAGTTATCCTGTGCCACTACCTATGAGGTTTCAGCAGGTACCTATGGCAGATACTCCTCTGACCCTTTCATTTGTACATTCCACAAGGCAAAAGCTCTTGACGTAAAGGAGAAGAGCAAAAGGGTCTCTTCTTAACAATAGGCAAATTGGCTGAAGCATTTAGGAAGGGAGGAAGAACAGAACAGTCAGAAATAACTTGGAAGTTCATCTTGTCCATACCCAGTTACAGAAGGTTTAATTAAGAAAAATAAAAAGGCTGAGGATTCCCTTGTCCTTAGTATTCCTTTTTTTGGCCTACTCCGTTTCCACAGGCTGATGGCTTTTAAATATTAAAACCTTTCCAAAAGGCATTCCCCAGACCCCATTACACAAGCCACAAATCACCGCTCTGAAGAACAAAAAGCGCCCGCGATGGGCCCCCACTGGGTACAGCCTTGATTCTCCAGGGAAAGGGAACTCTCAGAATTAGTGATTTGGATGTATTTGGGACAGGACTTGGGCCTTCCTGGAACATAAACACAATAAACACCACCCCTCCCCCCCAACAAAAACAAAATATTCAAGGCGCTGCGGCAGCGGCTGACCCGCGGCAGCTCGGCTCCGAACGTGACCGTAAAAAGAGAAGCGGGGCTGAGCCCGGGCTCAGGGCGCAGCTCGCGGGCCGGGCTGCAGGTTCGCGGGCCGGGCAGGGCGGGCACGGCGCTCCCGGGCACGTTCACCTGCTCGGCGGGCGGGCGGCGCGGGGCGGGCGCGGGGCGGGCGCGGGGCGGGGCCTGGGCGCCCGCGGGAGGAGCCGGTCCGGGTCCCGCCCCGCAGGAGGAGCGGCTGGCCGGCGGCCGATCCGGCGTCTCCGTGACAGGCACCCCGCTCCGCCGCCGCCGCTGCCGCCGCCGCCTTTTCTTCCTCGTCCGGGGCAGCCGCCGCGCCGGGTCCCGCTTCGGGCCGCGCGCCCACCGCTCCCCTCCCCCGGCCCGGCGCCGCCCGCTCCCGCCGCCGCCGCCCTCCTCGCCCGCAGGAATCGCGCGGCCACAGCGCCGCCCGCAGCCGCGCAGCCCGCTGCCGTCCGGCCCTCGGCGCCGCTCGGGTCCCGGCTCCCGCGGCCGCCGCGCGCCCCTCCCCTCCCCTCCCCTCCCCTCCTCACCCCTCCCGGGTCTGGCCAGTCCCTTCCCGCCGCCGCCTCTGGAGGAGCCGGTCCCCCGCGGGTCACCACCATGCCCAGCAAAACCAAGTACAACCTTGTGGACGATGGGCACGACCTGCGGATCCCCTTGCACAACGAGGACGCCTTCCAGCACGGCATCTGCTTCGAGGCCAAGGTGGGGGCCCCCCCCGGGGGGGGGCAATGCAGGGGAGGCGGCACGTCCGAGCGGACGCGGGGCTGAAGGGCCAGGCTGATGTGGGGGGCCTTTTTGGTAGGGAGGTGACTCCCCTTGTCGGGACTGAATTCCGCGGGCTCCTGCCCAGAACTGCTACAGAGCAGCTGCGAAGTTTGGGGTGTATTGCTTCGCCCCCTCCTCCCACCTGCAGACGCCCCCATCCTCACCTCTCGGGACTGCCTGACTTCCCGATCCCTCCTTCCGAGCTGGAGAAGCCAGCGGGGGAGCGCTGCCTGGACCCCTGGTTCTTTAGACTCGCTTTAGGGAAGCTCTGGTGTTATTTACCTGCTGGGATCTCATGGGAGAGGTGCTTTCAGGAAGGTTTTTTTTTTTTTTTTTTTAAAGGGGGAATGCCTACTTCCTGATTGAGGAAAATAATACAGGGGTGTTTTTGTTTTTGTTTTAGATTCCAGGTACCCGGGTCCAGGTGTCAGTCACTTCTTAGTTGCCTTATTTGCCACGACTCCTTTGCAAGTGCCAGTCATTGAAGGGGGAGGGGTGAAAGCTGCCCATTTGCTCGTTTTGTGGCGTAATGTTAAGTTTCAGCAGCTAGTAGGGGACGGCTGTTGAAGAATTTAGCGGGGATGACTGGAATTTTCAGCGCCGAGGCCAGAGCCCCGGGTCCGTCCTTGGGGAGGGGGCGGGGCGCAAGCCTCGGGACTGGACTAGGAGGTGCGCGATAAGCCTGGTCCTCTGAGATGCACTTCCCGGAGGGAGGCGTTCTGGTTCCCACAATCACAGCTAGGGCTCCCGCTGCCCATCGCCTGCGGAAAGTGCTCTTCCTTCATGCCACCTGACCCCAAAGACCCAGAGTTTCTCAGCACCTGCAGTGTGCCTGTCGCTGATAAGTGACAGAAGGTATTGCCCCTCCGAGTAGGTTTGTTTTTTAGGTTCTTGCTGATTTTGAAAAGACAGTACTTTCGATGTGGAGACAGTTTTAAGTTTTACTCTTCGTTTCCTTTTTTCCCCTCATGACTTTGAAGACGCATGGTGTTATCTCAGGCAAGGATGATTCCATCAGGTGGCTATTTCCTTCAATTTGTGAAACATCTTTCAAGTGTCTATGTGCCCAGTGCAATCAGTTATCTTTAGATTTTTTTTTTTCCTTCTCGTGGGGATGTGTGAATTGGTGGATCTTAACTCCTCCCCCATAACCTTCCCCCTACCGTATTTGCTAGAGCTAGGACACCCCCTATCCCCGACCCCACTCAAACCCTGCAGTGGAATGCAGAGCCAAATTACTGGGTATGGCAGGGACCAGAGTGGGGTTGTAGCCAAGATCTTATCTTGCTTCTCTCAGAATAGATCTGGTTGGTCTAAGATGGGATGTTTGGGTTAATTTTTGTCCAGGCCTGTTGCTCTGGTGAGCAAGTTTTTCACTTTACAGCATGGCTTTTCATCATGATCATAATTCAGTTTTCTTGGATATCCATAAACTGGGGAATTGGCTTTGTCTTGTTTGGTTCACCAGTGCTCTGTTTCACAAGAGTGAGGGCAAGGAGGGGGATCAAGAATTAAAGTGTTTTAAAACCTTTTAAATTCTTTTTGCACAGTTTCTGCCTTTGGTCCCAACTAGGTCTCAAAACCGGGTAGGCATAAGAATCCTATTGAAAAGTCTAATTCTTGCCATCCCCAATTCTAATTTGACACATTTGGGGGGAGCCTGGGGCTGGGTACCCTTAATGGGGATTGCGGGTGATTTAATGCAAGTGGCTGGGACCAGACTTTGAGAAACATTGGGCTTGAGGCTTGCCTCTACCTTGCTGGATCTTACCTTCACCTTCCCCACATGGAATTTCTTTTCTAAGCAAAAGTCTGAGGGCTGCATGATGTAGTTCCTATAGGAACTTCCCTGGGTTCACACACAGTGGTGCTTGATTAGAGGAAGGGGGAGCCACAGCTGGTCCAGGCTGTGTTCCCAGTGCAGATCTGAGACATAGGGGGACGAAGGGGTTCTGCTCTGAGAAAGGACAGGGCTGACCGAGGACTGGATCCTAACTCCCAGCCCTTTGGAATCGACGCTGGACACCAGTATGTTCAAACCCCGTCAGCCAAGACCTGAGTATAGGTGGAAGCAGAAACTTTTCTGTCCCAGGTGCATCCAGCAAGTGCCTCCTCTGCCTGGTTTCCACCTCCCACCAGAGCAGTGTCTGTGGACCTGCACACTCACTGGGATTTCACCACATTTGTCCCTTGTTTTGGAAAAACACAGGCTGGAAAACGTAAACGTCTTCTTGCTGCCTCGTCAGATCCCCTTGGAAAATGAGCGCAGGTCTTTCTCTCCCAAGGGCTGGCAGTTTTTCAGAATCAACACCTGATGGAGTGACTGTTTGGATGGCTACCACTCATTTTTAGGCTTCTGCAGAGATTGAAAGGTTACGGCTGGGGTTGAAGGGTGTCTGGGAGTCAGAGGGTCTGTGCACTTAAAAGCATCATGAGGGCGCCTGGGTGGCTCAGTTGCTTGAGTGTCTGACTCTTGATTTTGGCTCAGGTCATGATGTCGGTGGAGAGATCGAGCCACGCCCTGGGCTTCATGCTGTGTGAGGAGCCTGCTTAAGATTCTCTCTCCCCTCTCCCCCCAGCTCTCTCTCTCAAAAAAAAAAAAAAAAAAAAAAAATTGAAAAACAGCATCGTGCATTTAGTGATTAAGCAGAATCCTGGATGTTTTTTGCATGCAGTTTCACGTAATTCTCACTGCTTCCCTACAAGTGGGTCTCCTTATGTCTTATAAATGAGGATAGAGGCTCAGGGAGGTTGTTGCTTGCTTTAGTGCACACAGCTGTGGATGGCAAAGCCAGTGTTTAAACCTGGGAGCTTTGACTTCAGACTCCCAGATCCAGTGCTTATTTAATCGTTTTTATAGAGTGTTCAGTCTGCTGGGTGGTGGTCTGATTCACAGCTCCCAGGTGGGGCATCCTCAGGTTGCTGGCCTTTTGGACCCTGATGTAGGAAATTTCTTAAACTTTTAATGCTGGGCTGTTTCCAGATATCCCCCTGGACTAGTAGCTGCTCCTAAGGGGTTACCTGCTCTCCCTCAGCATGGGTGCCTAGCCCACTGATCATTGTTGGGGGTGGGTGGTAAAATCTCACTCGGCCTGATGGCTGGTATGGCCCCTCTGTACCTGCCTCTCCCTCTTTCCCCATGTGTCTTCCTGGTAGCCAGTGCCATTGACCAACTGTCTGCCCTTGCCGGGTGAGGAGGAGACTGTGAATGGCTTTGGTACAAAGAATATAATACAAGTATTAGTAGCATAGTTATGCATTTTGTAGGTGATTTTTTTTATTTGCGTGGGACTTTCCCATACAAAGCCTTTTCTTCAGGTAGAAACAGAAACATTAGTGTCCTCTCCGTTTCTCAGATGAAAAAAATTGGGGATCAGAGGGATTAACTCGTCTAGCATCACAGAACTGCTAAGACGATATGATTCTAGCTGATATTTAGTGAGGACTTACTAGGAGCCATGGAGCTGCCATGCCCAGTGCCGTTGTCTTCTGGTCCATGGCTCCTTCTCGTGATGCTCTGTATCCACAGCTCTCATCACCTCGCCCGTTCCCGGAGACAGCGTGAATGGCGCAGATTGTCACAACTGGAAAGCACCTCAGCTTACCTGGTACACAAGCCCCTCCTTTTACAGATGAGGAAATTGCAGTGCAGGGGAAGTCGTTGACCCAGGGTCACCTTGCTAGATAAGAACAGAACCAGGACTCGTCCCTGGTTTCCTAACTTCAGGTCAGTTTCAGTAATCTCTTGCTGCTTAGCCAACCACCTGAAAACGAAGCGGCTTTACACAACATTTGTTTATTTCATGGGCCAGGAATTCAGGTGGGGCTTGGCTGGGCTGTTCTTCCGTTGCATGTGGTGTTGACGGGCTCAGTCATTTGGCTTCATTTAGCTGTTGCTGGGCTGGAAGGTCCTCGAAGGCATCACTCACATGGCCGGTCCTCCCTGTGCTGGTTCTCTCCACGGGGTAGCTTGCATGTCCTCAGAGCATGGTGGCCCTTTTATTTGGCAGCTGGATTTCAAGAGGGAATGTTCCAAGCCGTGCAGGCAGAACCTCGAAGGCCTGGACTCCAAAGTTAACACAGGGCCATTTTTGTATTCTGTTGGTCAAAGTAGACCATAGGCCGGCTCGGGTTCAAGGGGAGGAGAAGTGGACTTCATTCCTGAGGGGCGAGCGTTAGGGTCACATTGCACGGGTGCACATGGGGTGGGAGAGATTGCTGACGCTGTCTTTGGGTCACAGTCGGCTATGAAATTTTGTGTTCTTTCCCATCTGCATTCCCATCTGCGGTGATGTTGAGTGTTCTTTGAGGACCTTGTCTTCTGCTTCTGCGTAGAGCCCCTTGCCCCAGCATCAGGTGCATACATAGCCAGCGATAACAAATTATTTGTCAAGTGGAAGAAAAGTACCAATTGTAGAAAGTCTGAAAGCAGTAAGGATATTGTCGTATTGTAGAGTGATTTTGCAGCTGGGGATCTCTTGGTCAAATCTGAACTCAGTTGTCTGGCCATATTTCCCTCCTTGCTAAATGGTTTCACTGGCTGGTGTTTTCCATGAGGTGGATTTTAGAGGTTCCAGAAACCCTGGACAGCAGGCTGCCTGTGGATGCCTCTTGAGCACGCTGTGGTGAGGGCTTCCAGATTAGGACGTTACATTATTGGCTCACTGTAAATGGGGTGCTCTGACTCATACTTGAGCCTGAAGGGTGGTAAAAAGCTCTCACCCCGACTCCACAAAATCCTGGGTGTGTGAGCTCTGCCTCCAGGGTCTTGTCTTCTGTCTGGACCAGTGGGGGTTCAGATGGAGGGCCTGCTGTATACACTGATACCACCATTGAAGCAAAGGTTCATTTCACCTTCTTATGTATTTGTCCAGATGCTTTTAAACCCATTGTTATCTTTTTTTTTTAAATTAAGTAAGGTCTGCCCCCAACGTGGG